TGTGTGTGTTTGTATTTGTGTATGCGAGAGAGAGAGAGAGAGAGAGAGAGAGAGAGAGAGAGAGAGAGAGAGAGAGAGAGAAACCAAGGGACTGACTGATCAAGTAAACAGGCAAGCAGGCAGGCATTCAAACAGACAGACAAACAAACAGGTATACACACAAAAACAGAGCCTCACAAAAAGCATAGCAGCAAATTTCTTTATGGCCATTTTAGTTATTGCATAAACACCTACAAACACAATACAAATGCACATTATACACTCACATACACAAACAAACATTTGCATATGTACACAAGAATATACATCACACTCACACACACTCACACACACTCACACACAAAAGCCCCCACAAATACACACATACACACACACACACACACACACACACACACACACACATACACACACAACACACACATACACCCAAGTATATTATGATACATAATATAATCATGTGCGATGTGCACCTGTTACCCTTCCATATGGCCTCCAGAATGAAGCACATTATTAACAGTGCTAGCTACATCTGTGACGTTAACACCAGCAACTAGTGACAACATAGATATATATCACAAGACAAAACAAGCAGAGATATGAAGAAGTAAGAGCAGCGATCGGCACTGAGTCCTGCCTGCATTTCACCCAAAGATAGAGAATAAAATGGTTTAGCCACCTGTTACGTATGTCACTTAGCTATCCAGCCAGCCTTGAAAGCCTAAAACACCAAGCACTCATGCTATAAAGGAAAAGGAAAGCCACGCAAAAGGTGGATTGACGGTGTCAAGGAAACCCTGAGAAATCATGATATCCCAATTGAAAGAGCTGCGGAGCTGGCTTACCATAAAAAAAACTGCATCTCCCCTCGACGTTTAACGGCAACAGAGGATGAAAAAGTAAAAGTAAAGTAAATGACTTAAGTTTGTATCCCTGTCTGAAAGTACCAAGAGAGTGCTTAGGGTTACTCACAATATCCAGTTGGAGATGATCATCAAATGTGGAGGACTAGCCACCGAAATGAACTTATTGAAAGGCATGAAAACCTCGAACTCCTATTCAAACCCTAAAAAAAAAAAAAACACGAAAAGGTTCCAGGAAGTATCCTTGACCACACACTTTCTATTTCAGAGTAATCTTTATCAGTATCAGTATCCAAGCCACATGAGTTTAAATCCCCAACCGGGCATTCACTGAGTAGCGTTCACGGCTTCCACCCTTTTTGTTTGGCCTTTTCTGAGAATAATCTTAAGACAGCAAAGCGTCCCTTCCTTGAGAAGACTGTAAAACTTTTATTACGCCGTTTACGTGTTATAAGACCATAAAATAAAAAAATGGGCGTCTTCAACGGCTTCGAGTAATAGTGAAGTTAGACTCTTCGCCATTGCACTCAGAAGACAATATGAGTTTGATTCCCGAGTAGGGAAGTAATATTTTCTTGAGTATATCCACCCCGCCTGTCTCTTGGGATGTTGTAGAATCACTTTCAGGTCAGATAGGCTAAAAAGGGACACGACAGAAAATGTCAGAGCAGCAACCACCGAAATAATCTAATGTGTGTCAATATAACAGTCAGTACAGCCAAGTATCAATTCGAATTCAAAAGTCAACATACCTTGGTCAGAATACTGTAGCTGTGCTGGTTCTGGGTGACAGGTTCCGTCGTCAGATACTCAATCACATCAGTCGGGGCATTTTTGAAAAGACGACTTTGACTGTAATCTGGTGAGGAGTTAGGGTGTAATTAGAGTAGATATCTTGCACAATTAGAAAAAAGACCACACAAACGTATATGCATGCACACTCACACACACACACACACACACACACACATACACACA